TACCTAAATAAATGTTATAAGTGTTCATAATGATGTTTAAAAGATATTTAAACACGTGATTAGCCAACATAGATAAGTTTGTATGAAAAGAATTAATTGTTTATACATGAAACATGATATGCACAAGAATTAATGATGATATGAGAAATAATATGAAATGCATATTTGTTGGGAATGTCAAAGAAGCACAAATGATTATTATTAACTTAATTATATGATGATTAAGTTGACATGTACAAGGCTTGAATGGCGGTCAACGACAACGTTGACCGATGGACAATGGATTAATTAATGTCGGTTGATATTAGTTAATTGTACATTTATATAATTGCATGGATTTGCATGAATTGTGATACATAAGTCTTATGTATTGAATTAGTTATGAGTGACTAAATATGATATAGACCCTATCTAGTGTGATATGTGGTAAGTCATAGGTCGGGTGGAGTACCCAAGGATCGGGCGGTTATCCTCAAAACTCGGTTATAGGGTGGAGAACCCAAGGATCGGGCGGTTATCCTCAAAACTCGGTTATATAGGGTGGAGTACCCAAGGATCGGGCGGTTATCCTCAAAACTCGGTTATATAGGGTGGAGTACCCAAGGATCGGGCGGTTATCCTCAAAACTCAATTATAGGGTGGAGTACCCAAGGATCGGGCGTGTATCCTCAAAACTCATAGATTACATTTAATGATCTAGGACCGGGCGGTGTCCTCATGATAATTTATTTGAACAAGGAGGAGTTCTATACACTCATAGGTATATGGGTGGGTTGGGGTTTAAGTCAAGGATATTGGCTACTATTATTTCCCAAATAAACAATGACCTACGGGTCGGGTATTTCCAAGTGTATGTATACTAATATGTATTTCAAACTTGGGGGAAAGACTATACGTATATGTATCATCCTATGTTTGGGTCTTATACTTGAAACGCTAGTTATTCTATATTTAGCCTGCTACTCGCTCGGTACTTGTACTGACCCCTTCGGGGGGCCCCACCATTTTCAGGTTGAAGCTAGGGCTTGCTACCTGCACCTTTCTACGGGTGACATCAAATCAAGGAAGACGTGGTTCGTGCTTCCTCATTTCATTTCAAATTACCAAACACTGCTCATGGATATTTTTATTTGTCATAAACTATTCTTTTGGGGCTTGCATGCCCATGTTATTGGCCGGTTGTGGCTTATGACTTACCGTTGAATACTTCCGCTATTCATTGGTTTAAATGTGATGTTGTTATGTATGTTTACTACTGAGTATGGATGGATTATTTCTCTCGAACGCCTTGTGTAATCAAGTGAGGTTGACTCGCGGGTGACGTCACTTGATTATACGGCGGTTGTACACGCGATTGGATTGCGGTCTGGGGCGTGACAACTGGTCTGGTAAACGTTTGGTCTTTGTGTATTTCATAACTACAGAAGTCTAGTCTGGTCTGGTCTGGTGGGACTGAAAATAGTCCAAAAGAAAACATCATTTGGCTAATATGAAATTGTGAATCGATAAATGATATCAAAGCATAGGCGGATCTAGGAATTAAGAATACCATAAGCTGAAAAATAATTATACTAAGTTTAAATATTAGCGAAGTGAATTAAATATGAAATTAAAAAAAAATACACTAAAAAAGTCAAAACGAAAAGAAAGATATAGAGATAAAATACGATAAATATAATGTACTGGCCTGGGTACATTATGACATAGATCTCAGTAATAAAAGATGTGTCTGTTCAATTTTACAGAACTTGGACACTAGTCAAAATTGTAGCTTTTGAGCTATTAGACATGCGCACACTAATCCAAGGGCGGACTGTAGTACAGACCCGGGGGCGGTCGCCCCCTAACAACAAAATTTTTTAGTGTATATATACTTCGTATAATAAAAAGCAATTTTCGCCCTCCCAAAAAATATTTTGTTTAAGTTACCGCCCTCCCAAGACAAATTTCATGGGTCCGCTCCTACACTAATCGATCACTTAATCAGACGTCTTAATCCACTTATTAATAGAGAAAAAGTAAGCGATCTCTTAGTTTTTTACAACAGTATAAATTGTTTTTTCAAATAAAACTGGAATTTATAAATCAGAAAGGACTTGGTGAAACGGAACTAATTTTGTGGCAAGAATGCTAAGAAAAATCTGACAAAGTTATAGGAGGAAGAATTTGAGAGAAACTGTTGTGGAATTTGCTGTTAATAGAAAAGGATAGGCACGTAAGGATTGTTTTTTTACAGTAACTACTTCCTCCGTCCCAATTTGATGATCCCATTTCTTTTGGGCTCAAAGATTAAGGAAGTGATTGAAAAGGTAAAAGTTGTGGTTGAGATTTGAGTAGAAAAATGTGAAATGATGTGGACCACATATTTCTTTCCAAAAAGGGAAATTGGACTATCAATTTGGAACAGCCCAGAAAGAAAATACGAAATTATCAAATTGGGACGGAGGGGGTATATATTACCCGTGCGATGCACGGGATATTGAGTAACCCATGTTGCAAATTGGTGTTCTATAAATTTTAGATAAAGATTTCTTATAAAAAGGTAGAACAATTTAAGCATCTTTCATCTACATTCAATTCAATTTATAGCATTAAATGTAACCAAGCATTCCACCTCAGCTGGTTGTGAGGTTATCGTGCTTAGTGGGAGGTTTCGAGTTTGAAACCCGTTAGGCACATAAGAGTTCGAAACTCAACGGAGTGAGTTTTGATCTTGATTATTCTAGCCCCCCACAACCCCCCTCCCCCAGACCCCTGGAGTAATATATATAGCTTTAAATGTTTAACCTCAAAATTCAAAATATCATAATGACCATTTTGAGAGACTTACTTTGAGGTATTTTAAAGTATAAATTAATTAATATTAAGTCAGTGTTTGTGATTACTTCTATTTCTTTTTTAGCAAATGATTGCTTCTACTCTTAAAAAGTTATTCCTTTAATTTATATTTTAAAGTTATTCTAGAGAGAGTACTTATAGTTAAGCTAGTAGTGTTTAAGATAGAAAAAAGTGATTTTTTTGAAAGATTAAAAGTTAATAGTATTTAAAAGTGATTTTTTATGTAATAGAAAACGTGAAAAGCAGTTAGAAGCTTCTCCGCCTACTTATAGAGATTTTTGTTTGGAAGTGCTTACTTTAAACAGGAGCAGTCACTCATTTTACCTCTCTTAAGGCAAAAATTGAACAACATTTTTAAGGTAATGCAAACACTTCCTAAGTAGTACTACATTATATTTGTGCCATTTTATGTATCCAAATTTAGTTTAACACAATTATTAAAATTTATTTGAAAAAGTAAGTTCGTGAGTGATGTTTGAATATATAATAAAGTGAAATGTTATGGACCACATATTCTTATAAAAAATGTCCATGCACAATTATCAATAATGCAACCTTTCTTTGAAATTAACTTGTACTCTCTTTGTCCCGTTAAAAGATTCTCACTTTCCTTGTTTGGATCTTCCATATAAGGTTCACATTCTATTTTAGAAAATAATTTACTTTCTTTACTTACATCTTTACTCAAATTTTTCTTTCTTATTCATTATATGTCAAAGTCACAATTTTCTCCCCTCCAACTTATCTCGTTTTAACTACTTTCACTTTATATGCTTATTTTTTATAAAAATTTTCTTTTCTGTTTTTTTACCCAAATTATTGTATTTAACCATTTACCTAAAAAAAAAAAGTATGGAAGCATCAGGTTTTAGCATCGACTGATGTGATATAAACTAATCTGAATACTCCGTATTAAAGGTTTTGTCTTCTTCTTATTAGAGTATTTATCACTTTGTCCCTTCTTATAAAGTTAGGGTCAGCTTCATGATTATGTTTTTCTTCAATTTTTTTGCATTCACATGTTTCATATTTACTCTCACGTGCAAGACACGTTTTTAGATTATTTGAATTTTGAATACACCTTTCCTCCCAAACTCCCTCCACACTTTTCTGTTTTACTATATAATATAGATAGATATAGATGTAGTACTCCGTTAGTTGTATTACTCCGTTAGTTGAGTACAAGCGCTACTTGTATCAACGTTTTAATTCGGGTTATTTTTTCTAGCCGAGGCTTAGTTCAACTATTCATCCAAACAGTGCTACTATAAAATAATTAGCGGCATTTAGGAAATATTATCACATTTTGAGATGAAGTGGCATGCCAAACCGAAAGGAAAAAATTATTGATACACATAAATTGTACACATTTTATATGCATCTCCCTAATTGTCTGTGTACACAAATAATTATGAGAGTATACGCAAAATGTATAAACTTGGGCGTACACCAAGAATTATCCAAAAATAAAATCTAGAAAATTATGAACCTTAGTATCGGTAAAGGTAAAGGTATTAAAAACACTATCGAATAATTGAGTTGAAAAATAGATGTTACATTATGGAAAATAACATTGAAATTTAGTAATTACGGCTCCGTCCAATTGAATATCGATTGAACTAAATATGGTGTTTGGAGAAAGTTCTTTCAATGTGTTATACGAAGTATCTTGTTTGTTTTCTCATTTTAATTTCTATTTGTTGTTTATTATTACTCCGTATAAACTTTTTCTGACAGGTTATGCATCTTTTGTACGGGTTTGGAAATAATTTGTTTCTGCTTCTTTTTTAAAACAAAAAATAAAATCAGAATCAATTTTTACAAGTTGGTCCCTCAGCTTATAAAAAACGGATTCTAAGAATAAATTAGAACATCAAAATCACTTCTGCATTTTCACTCAAACACCCCGACTCCTGCTTCTGCTCGCTAAAGGAGCAGAAGCAATTTTAAGAATTAGATCCAAACACCCCTTCAATACTCCATATAAGTAGCGTTTCCCAATACAAAAACAATTTGAAACTACCCAATGTTATTAAAGATGTACTGAAGTGTCTTTGTTGTACATTTCAATTCAAATATAGCAGATTATAATACGGCCTCAACCAGAATTTCGTGAAACATCATCTTAACACACAAATTGACGCCTCAATTATAAACTATAAAGGCCTGGACAAAAATAATAGATTAATACGCATCATAACAATAACTAGAATAAGAACAAAAAAAAACATAAAAACAGGCATTTCTAGCATTGAAATGCTTTGTATTTTGGTTTGGCATTGGTACAAAAGCGGATCTGTTACAAAAGAAATACAGATCTTTCAGTTTTTCTCTTTTTCTTGCCTTCCCAGAATTCTCTACCAGCAACTTTAGCAGCAAACTATGCACAACCTTAAGACACAATGTGCAGAATCTTGAGGTAAAACTTATAAACCCAAAGCCGGAATAAGATCATTAGAACAACAACACCAAGAATGCATAGCAATAGATTCTTGCTACTTTTGATTCTTCCATCATTTAATCCGCAAAAATAAACCAGGACTGGAAGTGACAAGAAACTCATAGTAGATTAGTAGTGTACAGTGCACCAAAAGTAAAAAAACGAGAGATAACATCAAAAGTTAAGAACCCAATAGTGGAACCAAAAGTGGAAGGCATTTGTGCAACAGAAATCAGTGCAATTGAGGAAGTTTTGAAGATGGAAATAAGATTACTACCTCAGCAATTACAAAGTAGTTAGCCAAAACGCCATATACAGACGAAACACCACAGCCAGCATTTCTAAACTTGGAACCAAACCATAGGGACCAAAGATTTATTTACAGGTGTGTACCAGGAGTTGGGCTAAACAATTTTTTTTAAAAGTGGAATCTTTTTCCAATGATTCACTACTTTGAGCAAGATGGGATGTAAAATGAAACTAAACCTGCAGCTGATATTGAACATGAAAGAGGAGGTATAGAGACCTCCTGATAAAACATATGTACAGACGGTTCAAACTGAATGTCAATGCTTGAATCACAAATCCGCATCCCACAAATCTTGGAATTAGTTGGGATCATAGTGTTCAGCTAAAGTGGATGTGCCTGATGAGTCTTTACAATCTGTAAAAGCAGTCACTAAGACATTCATAACAAGTAAGGAACAGTTAGCTCTACTTTTGTTCAAAAGAAGGACGTGGAGGATAATTACTCCCTCCGTCTACAAATAAGGAATTCTTGTAGAAAAGTGACTCCATATTATTTTTGTTCTACATTTAGAAAGTTGGTAATATTTAAAGTTAATTTCCCCTTTTTAATAGTCTTTTAGAAAACTATTGTATTTAAATTAATTTTTTGTTGAAATTAAAAATATATCATTATGCATGAGTAACAATAATATGTGGAACAATTTTCGAAAAAAGGTGAAATAAATTAAGAAAAGATAGCCCCCTCGTGGTCCAGCGAGACACTCAGAACTCAGTTACTTTCCACCCACCCCCTGAAGAATCCTCCAAAAACAAAATAAGGGCTTTAAAAATCAACAAAATCTAATGTGTGGGAATAAAAAAACCTTCAAGTTCATGGCGCATCCAGTCCTGGGCACACATCAAAGCTTGCAGAGTATCAGGTCTTAGTGAACCTCGACTACTGTCAACCACTCTACTTCCAGTGTCATATATAGACTCGAGTGCACCTTTTGACAGAGGAATCCCAAGAATGTTGCAAGCCATCATAGACAATATGGGATACGTTGGAGTGTGAACCTTCCACCAATCCAGTATGTTAAAATCAACATTTCTAGGAAATAAAGGTTCCGCCAAATACTTGTCCAAGTCTGATTTTATGTCTTCACTTTCAGAAGTTTCACAGAGGAATTGGTCATAACCCGTCAACCTATCTTCTCTAGAATCACCACTAGGACCATGAGAAGCTAATGGTGAATAGATTGCATGACCATGGTACAAAGCCTTCAAACAGTTTGAAACAATATCTATGCATGTTGCTGACTCATCTCCATAAATTTGAGGATAAAAAAAATTTAGCACGTTCATCTTGAATCGAGGATCTAAGATTGCCGCAATTGCCAATGCCAGACTGCACTTATTCCAATACTCATCAAACCTGTTTTTCATCTTTAATGCCAAAGAGCGAACAAAATCGTCCGAGTTTTGACACCACCCTATCAACTTCAAATGAAGTTCACATATATCAGGGAAATACATGTTCGCAGTGGAATATTTGGAACCTGAAAAAGCACATGAAATGTCAAAAAAGTGCTTGAGAAAACCAGTGATGGAACTAGCCCTGTCCCACTCTTCAGTAGATGGGCACGCCCTGTACCGAGAATCATGTTCTTGCAAAAGAGTAAAAGCATCTTTGTAATCCAAAGCAGTTTCGAGCATAATGTATGTGGAGCTCCACTGGTTCTTATTATCAAGACAAAGGACTTTCTGGCGGCTAATTCCAGCATCTTGAGCCATCTTATAGAACTTTTCTTGTGTTGACTGTGATTGCTGAACGTATCGAATACTCTCTTGAACCTTGTTGACTATCTCAAATGACTTCTCCAAAGCATCTTTGACCATCATCTTGACCAAATCCGCTACACAACGTATATCAAACAATTGGCCATCACAAAGGAGAAACCTGTGTTGACAGAGTTGCTCTCTGATTCTCCCAATGATTTTGTCATATAAAGAATAAGTATCGAATGTCACTGAAAACAACTTCCTGTCAATATCCCAATTTCTCAGACTTATCATGATTATTTCTGAAATTGTATCTACTGTTAGAGAATGATCAATCATTAAAAAGTTGAGAATCTTCTTCTTCAGTTGCCAAGAATCGTCAATGTAATGGGCTGTCAAGCATAAGTATTCGGCATCTCCATTAGCAGTCCACGTGTCGGCAGTTAAACTTATACCTGGCAATTTATCCAACTCCTCATACACTTTCTGTCTCTCCTTCAGATAAATTTCCCTACAATCAGCCTCCACCCCATCAAACGTTGGAATGTCAAAAAAGGGTTGGAGATTTCTAGCAAAAACCCTAAATCCAGTGTGCTCGACCATAGCTAAAGGGTACCCATGTAATATGATCATGCGGGCAAGATCAAGCCGACTCTGTCTGTTATCAAAATTAAAAGTTGCTATATTGCCCCCTTCTTTGCCATGGTTATCTAGCTTGTTAGTTCTCACAATGCTGACGGATTCATCATTTCTGTGGTCAAAAGTGAAATTTGAAATGGCGAGGGTTGTTTCCTTCCGTTTTCCCCTTGTTGTTATTAAGGGGCTAATGTCTTGGTTGGATTTTCTTCTACATCTGATTAAGTGATTCCTCAAATGTGAAGTGCCACTAGTGCTTGACCCACTTAGCTTCCTATTGCAGTGCCTACAAATTGCTATGAAAGTGTCGCCTTTCCTGACCCTATCAAAATCATTCCACACAACAGATTTCAGTCTGCTGGAATTCACTATGACCGAGCCATCTTCTATCTCCATTGCTTTCTTAATATTTTAGAAATACCTGATATTTTCATTAAGAAACAAGTTGAAGCAGGTAAGTTAGTGGCATATCTAACTAGCCAGGATTTTAGATAAATATAGTAATGAAACAACACATTCTTTTGATCCCCCAATTCAAAATTATTGTCCCCATAATGCCTCCAGCAGACTTATTAAACATTCAATATCCCTTGGATATACAACTAACCATTTCTTCTGACATGTGAAAAAGTTTTCCTGTGATATTGACAGCTGCATAAACTTACTACCGAAAATAGCAATTCTAAGCACAATAAGCTCATGTGTCTAAAATCAAGCCATGTGTTTTTCTATATATGACTTCTGTGGTAACACTAAGTGGTGAATGGTGGCCATTCATGTTCAAAAATTGATATGCGGAATTACCAAAATGCAATTTATAGCTCCCAAGATAAATTTGACATGGTTCTAACCATTTAGCATTGTCTTCTATATAGCTCTTCTGTAAGTCTGTAACTTAAAAAACATAGCTTCAGAATCAACCAGACCAAGCAATTCAGTCTTCATCACATTAATGCATTATTGCTCAATCAGGTAACAAATTAAATGCCCAAGGCCGCAGAAAGATGCTATAAACAAACAAAAAATTGCCATTTAAAGCTGCTGACTTCTATATAATAACAATCAAAGGAAGGGAAACACATATGAAGCACGGACACACCAAACAGGGGGTCATTGTGTGGCAGAGAAAGAAACACGTGTAATGCATGGTTTGGAAATAAAGTTTTATTAGGTAAGGGAGATATAGAGATCAGACAGACTAAGGGTGTCAGCTGGGGTGAATCTGGTGATGATGGTTTGGTTGCAGCAAGTCAATGCTGTTTTGTGGCTTATTCTTCAGAAGGGTGTAGAGGACCAATGGAGATGATGGTAGAGGACTAAGAAAGGGAATATCCACACTCAACTGATCTTTCTGGGACTACAGTTCCTTCTTTATTTATTTATTTATTTATTTATTTATTTATTTATTTATTTATTTATTTATTTATTTATTTATTTATTTATTTATATTTATTTATTTCATTTCAGACTATCTTATGTTTACAGCTAGTCTATTAGAGTATAAGCTAATCTCACATATAACAAATATGCAATGTAATTTAATTTTTTAAAAGTAAAACTTAATACTTTTCCAAAATAATCTTTGGAAAGGAAATGAAGGATGGAGTATTATATTTGGTGCAGTCTCCTGCAATTAGTGTCCTCATAATAATGCTTAAGTAAAATGCAATAACATATTTCTCAATGCATTGCTTCTTAGGAAATTTGTACAAGTTACAAAGTCAGCAAGAAAATTTTATTTGAGTACAGATGCACACAAACAAAATTCATTGAATTTTTGTTATAATTTTTTTTCATCATACTACTAGTAGTGTAAAAAATGGATCTTTTTTTCATCCTGCAGAGCTTGAGACATGTTATTATTCAACCATGTAAAAAAATACCTAAAATATACGGAGTGGATATTAACTTTCTAGAGGACAGCCAAAAAGGGCAGAATAAAAAGAGATGTAAAACAGAAGCAAATAAAAAAACCACTATAATACTACTTAATTATCTGCTAACGTGTAGCATCCAGCTAGACTATCTGACAAGCATAAAAACACCTTCATAACTGTAGTTGGTAATTTTGATGTTAGTTTTTATGTTAATTTGGATGTTGGGTGGAAGCCTTAAAATAATTTATGGGTAAATAAAAAGTGAAAATGAACTGTCTATAGTGTCAAACAATCAATGCCTGACAAAACAAAACTTCTTTTCAACATGGAAATAAGGGATGAACTTTGATCACAAAGTCCAATCTTGGAACTACAAAATGAACCTCTTTTATGATCCACAGGGGCATAAAAGCACCATTTGATTTTACAAATGAAAAAACAGCCATATAAAGCCTACTGAATTCAAGAGAAGGGAAGATATAAGGTAAGGTTCCAAATTGGATGGTTAATTAAGGATAAACCAAAACAAAACGCCCGACCGAGTATCCACTGTCATTACCCGGTGAGTGGGCCTCCAGGGCCGCTGAACCCGAGCCCAGAACCCGAACCTGACAGCTGAAAATGATGAGTAATGCTCTAAAAGAAGCAGCTTTATTTAAACCCAACAGAAGTCGAATCGGGAACTGGCACGCCGGTAACATATCCGAGCAAATAACCCTAAAAAGCTTCCATCCAGACTTCCGAGTACCGTCTCCCAATTTTTTTCCCAAATACAGAAATGAAAATACTCAATTGCAACAAACAAATAAAGAGAGGGAAAGAGAGAGCACCTAAAAATCTTCAAAGGGCCTGGTTAGGGTTTGATTCCACAGCGGTTCGAGCATGAGTATCAAAAACGAGAAGGGGGGAGAGAGAAAGGAGACGGTTTTGTTAAGCCGAGATAGGTGTCAGAAAATGGTGGAAGTGAACAGATTTGGATTCGAAGGCGCGAACCCGACGCAAGCCCATTCCACTCAAAGGCACATTGGGCCTGCAAACCTGCATTTGGGTCAAGCTGTCTCTTTCCAAACACTTTACTTCTTTTCATATATTCCTAAATTATTGCCCACTTTTTCCAAAAAAAATTGTAAGTTGTCCGATCTAGGAAATGACAAGTGTAAATTGTTTATCCTTGTCATTAGAACATCAAGCTACTCAAAGTCCTTGTAATCAGGTTACTCATCAAACACAAATTCTTGTAATCACACACATATCTAGATTCAACCCAGCAAATTATGTAAAATCATTCATAGATGGTTTATCTCAAACATGGCTAGTATAAATAGGGCTTTTTTTGTTGCACTTTTTTCTTTTCTTATAGTATTTGTTCTGTTAAATGCCAACATTCTTGACTGAGATGGAGTTCGAACCTCTATCACCTTGGGGGTATCACAGTGATGTCATCGAACCACAAGGTGTTTGATGTATAAATAAGACTTGTTCAATTCTTTGTAATTCACTTAGAAATTTTCAATATAGAGAAGAAGAATATCTAGAGCTTATTATTAATATTAATATATCTATCTCTTAAATTTACTTTTCATCGTCTTCATTCCATAACAATGTGATTCATATTTTCTCTTACTCTAAATTGATTTTTTTATATTTTCCAAAGAGGGAGTAAACTTTATGTGAAAGAAAATAACTTATTTATTATTAATAAAGATAACAAGAAAAACTATAATCATATAACTCAAGGCAATGATGGGATGACACATAGAAACAAACGATTCAAATTGAAAACGCCGAATCACTAATCCCACAAAAAATTAGACATTGTCTGCATATTGGCTGCTCCTGCTACGATCACAATAATTCTCCAACAAATTATTAAACATCCCGGTTTGTCCACCAGTAAGGAGTCAAGTATAAAATTTGTTCCGATTTCACGAGTCAAAAACACTTCATATTACCCCATCTTCCTAAAAAAAACAGTGGCTCAAGAGGGCGACGTTTCGTCTCAATATTGACGCAGAAGAAAATCATATTCTTGATTGATGAATAGATTAGTGCAAACCTCTTATTACCATACAAGAATGCCCGACCGAACATGTTTGTTGAATAAAGGGGAATAAACATTTGGCAGACAACACTTTACCACCGAAAATAATATATCTAGACAACGCTGGGAGAGAAACATTTAAATACAATTGAAAATATTGATTTACAAGACACTTTTTCATTATTGAATATAAAAGATTGAAAGAAGAAAAGAAAATGAGAGAAAAGGATGAGGCAGCGGCTAGGATTACCCATCGCCACTCCTTTCTCTTCAAGAGGGAGTAAACTTTACTTTCTTTGTGAGCTTCACCACCATGTATTATTATCATATTGTTAATACTCCCCTTATAATTTTGCAAAATAATATTTCATACGTAATTAATACACTTCATGAAACTTGTGATCAAAATAATGAAGGGACGTTTGGATCTACTTCTTTACTGGTCTTTCTCAAGAAAAATTATTTCTAATAGGTGAACAAGCTTCTCGGAAGCTAATTATGCTAACTGAGTTTCATTTTAATAATATCCGTGTAATAAAAGGGTTTTTCAAAAATATTACTAAAATGAAACTTATTTACAAAAATATGGCCAATAGTTATTAAATATAATCTCATAATCATTTAAGTGTAAAATTTAACATAAATTATTATAACTTAGTTACTATTATAGTTACTAGTCACATTTTTGTGAACTACATTTATTTTAGTCACACAGACACAACACACACATATATTTAGAAACATATGTGTGTGTGCAATTATTTCTTATTTTAATGTAATTAAAAACACAAATATATATTACAAACAATAGAAAATACATATAATATGTAAACATAAAACATAAAATGAAATATTAACATTAATGAAGTTTTTTATTTTGATATACTACATTTTTTTCAAAAAATGTAGATTATTCATGTTGTTTTTTTTTAATTAAAAAAAAACATTCAACTCCCTCGATCCTATAGAAAGGTTTTAACTTTCCTTTTTTGGACTTCCCATATAAAGATTCTCATTTTCATTTCAGGAAACAATTAGTAATCTTAAACGACAATTTAATCATTAAATATTAAAAATAATACATTTATAATGTAACATCACGATTATTAATCCCATTATATTATGTATTAAAATTATTTCTCAAAATATAATCAAATTACCTTATTTAATTATTGTCTAAATAATCGTGCCGTTTTGCCATGAGAACCTTTCAACGGAACGATGTAGTACATTCTTTCAAATTGATAATACATGAAGATTATTGATGGGTTATCCATATTGTAGTCTAGAGAGAAGCAAAAGCTTTCCTAGAAAGAGAAAAATATTATCACACTAACATAAATTTATCCTTAGATAAATTTTTATCTTTGAACATTTTGGAACTTAACACTTAGAATGTTTTTAATTGGATTGTATTACGAAGTATTATGGTATGGTATAAAAGTCTTTTCTGATTCGGTCTGGACTGTTTAATCTGATATAATTTGAAACACGCAACATGTAATCTGATTTGATCTGATCTGATCTAATTTAATTTGAACTAATTTTGTCTGATCTTATGGATATTTGTTCCATATGTATTTTACATCTTTTCACATTAGTTGTGGTCTGATATGGTCATGTTTGGTTTGTTTAACGGTGGTCTCATATGAAACTAAAGGTGTTTTCACTTAGACTGGAATTTTATGATATGATCTGCTCTGGTATAGTTTAGTATGATAAATTTCTGGTCTCTTTGTATTTTATAAATGTTCAAGCCTGTTCAGGTCTAGGACTGAAAACAGTTCAATTAAAAACATTTTAAAATCAGTCCAATTAAAAAATTTCGTTTTATGGTTAAAACCACTTCAGTTATATAGGTAAATCATTTGTCATTTGGCTTACAACATGGCGAATAGGTAAAGAATCATTACTTATCCTAAAACTTAAAACGCTAGCCCTTATAAGTGCATGAGCGGCACGATTTGTAGAACTCGTACAAAAACACAAATAAAATTGACATTTCTTAAAGGAGATACCTAATATCATGCTAATATCAAATCAGTGTAAGATAGGTCTTCCTCATTAATTATAAATTGCTTGAACGACTTGAAGAGCATGTGACTCTACTTCCGCTTGTCTCCAACCTTTACGGATTGCCCGAAAATCGCTTCTTGAACAACTCTAGCTTCTGTTTGAACAGATGACCAATCCGCTACCTTAGCCTCACTAGAAGCCCCCACGCACATATCAGCCCTACTCATGAACTGCAACATCCACATTTATCTTGACCCAGCCAATTCTTGAGCGCCTCCATCGATCTCTCTTATGTGTCCTTGCCACTTGCTGCCCAATCTTCTGGCTCGGAATATGTGCCTCCCATCAGCCTTGTAAGACCATTTGGAGTGGTGTGAGAGTCTAAATGTTAAAAATGGACTCTGTTTATATGAAAACAGTGTTTTGATTCCTATTTTTGCATTCCAGTACTGCCAATAAACTACACTCTACACATTTTTTTACATACCAATTTAGTAAAACATTAATTTAATTATTATAAGTAATGTTTTCCTTTTAATTTTTTCACTGAATATTTTTTTTAAAATATTTTTTAGTTAACAAAAAATGAACATAGTTCAAGTGGAGTTCAATTATGTAATATTCAATTATTTGTGAAGGCTTCAAGAATAAAAAAAATTGTGTTTTGTGTTTTTTTTGTTCAAGAAAAATTCAAATCTTCAACAATAAAAATTTGAGATTTTTTTCATTTTATATATTACATATTGGTGTCACATGAAAGATCATAAAATTTCATGAATCTTGATATATTTTTTGAAAAATTTGGAAAACAAATAAAAAATTTATAAGAGTTCAAAACAATTTGGGATTTTTACCAACCCTCCATCCCCTTTTAATTTTCACTTTTAATCCCTCATTTAGTGCACCACTATACCAAATTAAGAATCAAAGATCTTCATTTTTAATCTTTTGACTCTTAATCTTACACCACTCACTACTTGGGAGAGTTCGGACTCCCAAGTCCCAACTCTCCCCTACTAACACTCTTCAAGACAGCATCATTACGCCTCTTCCAAAAGCTCTAGAGAAGCATTGCAAACATGTACCTCATCATCCTTCCAGGGGCGTATCCAGGGGGGCAGCTGCCCCCACTCAACTCCCACCCAACCACTCTATATATATATATATATATATATATATATATATATATATATATATATATATCCAATTTAAAGTTATGCATATATTTTTGTGTGAAGTAAAGAGATGTTATATTGTCCAATAGTTTTAACTAGTTTTGACGGTTGCCGAGTGAAATGAAGCGCAGGATTAATACATATTCCCTGTGCGCTCAAGGGTTCGAATTCTTGGGTTGTAGCTTTTGGTTATCTTTTTTGCTTTTTGACCTTAACCCCTTAAGGCCTTAAACAAATTCTAAGTGGTTTTACATTATTCTTTTTAATAGTTTTTCTTTTTGAAAAGATCTAAACTACATTTACAACTCTAGTTTCACATATGACTGATTTTGTACATAATATAAACTAATTTGTTAATATACTTATGAATTTAAAATTTAAATTAATTCTAACTACATGCTTGATCATTCCTTAGTTGATTCATTTATATATTGACATAATTATGAACAAATGAGAGATGTCATGTGATAAAATTATTTCTAACAAAGTGAAATTTAATAAAAAAAATGATATCATAATGTTTTTGCCCAGAGAATATTTTGTTATTTATAATTGATTTTACAATTTTTTCCTTAATTTGATTAGTCTAATTTTTCTAGTGATTTTTTTACTTAATCTATGGTAAATTCGCCCCACTCGCGTATTTTTCTGGATACGCCACTGCATCCTTCCCTTCCAAACTCTCATTTACCCAACTCTCCAGCCTAGTGGTGGACCCGGTTCGGGCCGCCC